GTTTAACAGACCCCTAACAACTCGAAAGAGCTCAGCTGGACGATTCTTCGCAGATGCAATATTGGCAGCAAACGATGTTTTTTGTGCTGCCGCTATTGCCACATCGTAGGACCTTAGAAAGGCGTTTAGATGTGTTTGGGCTGATTTAGTCGGCCTCCTACGCCACACGCGCTCTAGCCACCTTTTCTTTCGCTTCATTGCTGCCAGCTCCTCAGTAAACCAAGAGGCCGGATTAGCTCGGTTACTCGAAAGGGGGCGTTCCGGAGCGATTGTGTCGATTGCCCTAGTCATCTCGGTGTTCCAGTGAGAGACCAAGGCATCGACAGGGTCGCCAGTCAAGGAGGTGGGAAATTCCCCAAGAGCCGTCAGGAAACCATTTGGATCCATAAGCCTCCTGGGGCGGACCATTCTAGTGGGTCCACCACCCCTGCGGAGGTTAGGAGGTACAGTAAGTCTAAACCTAATCAGGTAGTGATCGGTCCATGACAATGGAGCGATAGTCAGCTCCTCCACCCCGACACTTTCACCCCATCCCTGAGAGAAAACCAAATCCAGTGTGTGTCCGGCAGTATGGGTGGGACCAGATACTAATTGGGACAGGCCCATGGTTGTCATGGCGGCCATAAAGTCCTGAGCCGCTCCTGACAGAGCAGTCTCGGCATGGACATTGAAATCCCCCAGGACTATAAGCCGCTGGGAGCTCAACGCCATGTCCGAGACCACTCCTGCTAGCTCAGGTAGGGAGACTGTCGTGCAGCGGGGTGGTCGGTACACTAACAGAATCCCTATCCTGTCCCGGTCACCTAACCTGAAGCCGGCACACTCAAATGACGATGATTGTGGGATGGGGCACCTGATCAGGGGAATACAAACCTTATAGACCACTGCCACTCCTCCTCCCCTCCCTCCGGGTCTTGGCTGGTGCTGCACAGAGTAACCTGGTGGGCACAGTTGGGAGAGATTCACCCCTCCCCCCTCGTCCAACCAGGTCTCTGTTATACATGCCAGGTCGGCTCGTTCCTCCTGAATTAGATCTCGAATGATGGAGGTTTTTCCATTTACCGACCTGGCATTAAACAGCACCACCCTTAGCCCAGAGGGGCCACCATCCTGACATCTCAGCTGTATCTTGTCGGGAGGATTTTTTGGAGTTGCCAATACATTTCTATTATTTTCAGGCCGAATCGTTTGTATAGTTGTGGTATGAGTAATCTTTGGGATTGCCAATGTTCTATTGTAAACTTTGGGCCAGATTTGTTTTTGTCTCGAGTTCTTATTCCTTTTTGAGTTTGCCAGATTGTTATTATAGATTTTGGGTCAAATTGGGTGATTCATTCTCCCTTTCCCGTATCTCCCCCTACCTGTCACCACCCCTATGGCAGCCCCCCCATCCACGGAACTACTCGCCCCGGGGGGATTTCCTCCATGCTCCTCACTTATAGAATCAGTTGTTAATGCATAATAACAGACATTGTTGTAATTGTATATCTCTTGACCCTGCGGGTCATCCCCCTCATTACTTTCTACTCCTTCCAGTTTGCTAGAAATCCTAAAGTGCATTTGTGCGTCACTGGCAGAGATGGATATCAGTGATAACAAAAGTGGCAAAAGTGACAAAAGTGCTGACATCAATAAATTACTAGGAGTACACAATGTAAATCAAGGGTTAATCAGAGACTCTGTCTGTCTAAAGTGCTATAGTGTCAACACCTCAGCAGCAACTTAGTGGTTTGGGACCAGTTAATGACTTCTGACAATACCAGGCGATCTAAAGTGCAAAATTAAAGTGCTAGATGATTACTATGGCTCAGTTCTAATCGTGCCACATGATCTCAATACTGGGCTAAAGTGCTTGATAATTCTAATTACTCAAAGTCAGTGCCCCCAAGGGATTCCCAACGTCATTCAACTAGGACGGGCAGATCGAAACACAGGACCCGGCTTCTAGGGCCCGTGGACAACAAGCCGGCACCCCTTGGCCCGGTCCTTAGTTCTTCTTGACCGCCCAAGTGAGAAGCTAGTAGAGCTTGGTGGGAAGTGATCTTATATATTGCAGGCAGAGACTCCAAGGAGATCGTTCTAGCAGCAGTGTAGAATGATGTTATTGCACCTCCAGCCAGAATGGGCGATGTTGCGGAAAATAACAGAGTTTATGTTGCTATGAGTTTTTAACGGCGACCAGCTGAGCGCTGAACTTCTAATTGGTAGGCCTTCTGGTTGTTGCTTAGGCCCACAATGATGGAAGACTGGTGATGTTATTCCGGGTGCCGTCGATGGAAGGAGGGCGGCTTCCGCGATGGTGGTTTGGCTAACGCCGTGTAGGACAGCGAGGTGGTAAACTGGCCAAAGCGCAAGGCCCAAGCAGCTGCGGCCTTGAAGATCCTGTGGCCTCGATGTTCCCTCTGCCGGGGAGCGCCTGGCATTTGATAGCCTGGCAGTTTTTAGGTGTGGCTTGTTACTGCCTGGGGGAATCCTTTGTTGAGTGATTAGCTGTCCCTGATTGTTTCTTGCCTTGAGTTCCCCTGTGTTTGAGGGGAACGTCTGAGGATGGCTTTTTGACACTTCTTTCCCCTTGCAAAGTGAAGGGGGGGGGGCTTGGTGTTTCCTCCCGTGAGAATCAAAGCTGCATATCAAGAAAATTCAAAACCAGGAATGCCTTCCCCGCCCCCAGCCGGAAAGAGTTTTCATACTTTAGCCATTTCCTACTCCGCTGGATGCCATTGCTCAGGGTCACTCTAGGCAAGCCTTACTCGGTGGATTAACCTTATCACGGAGAGGAAGGTCCTGTTATTTCAACTATCTATGGTGTTATTGTAAATAAATTAAAAAAGCAATGGAACCAAAGTGAAAAGAGAGTGTATATGGTATATTTATATGTCCATACAGACACTGATACACACAGACACAGACGTGTGTGCGCGCGCACACACACACACATGCAGTATATAGAATAGATTGCCTACCCTGAGTCACAGGGATGCAACATAATTAAAACAAGAGATAAAACACTATTAAAAGACATAAGGTAAAGGTTTCTCCTTGACATTCAGTCCAGCTGTGTCTGACTCTGTGGGGTGGTGCTCACCTCAGTTTCTAAGCCAAAGAGTCAGCGTTGTCCGTAGATGCCTCCAAGGTCATGTGGCCGGCATGACTGCATGGAACACCATTAAAAGACATACAATAATATTAAATACAAATTAAAATCCACTGACAAAATGCAGATTAAAATTCACAACTTAAAATTGACTGGGTATATGACATACATATATACATTCAAAACTCAAAAGACGCAATGAATCAAAGTAAATACATCACAGATCACTTGAAAAGCTGCATTACATTAATTACATTTGTTACTTTTTAACCTCTTGCATAGTGACTGACCTGAGTCCGATGCAGAGAGTTTAGGGGGGCTTTGCTGGCATCATATAACATACCTATATCACATTGTAGGAACAGCAAGTAAATTATGTTCTGAACCTTGAAGACATCCTGGAGGTTGTGTTGCATCAATTGATAGAAACAAAATAGAACAGGCATGGGCAAATTTTGTCAGAAATATTAAAAATTAATGAAGTATTTTTAATTACAAAAATGTGAGTCAAGCACTGAAAGGGTTAAATGGATGCAATGACTCAGCAAAAGCTGTAGTTCAATATAAGCAGCTGTGCCTGTAGCTTAGTAGTTATTGGTCTGAGGGAGCCCTCAGTGTTAGCAGACCTCAGTGAGAGGGGCCTCAGTGTGTTGGTAGGCCTCAATGTTAGTTCACCCCAGTATATGAGAGGTGTCAGTCTGAGAGAGCCCTCAATGGGGAAAGAATTCAGTGGGAGAAAGCTTCAGTGTGTTTGTAGGCCTCAGTATGAGAAGGTCTCAGTGTTAGTTCATCTCAATATATGAAAGGCATCAGTCTGAGAGAGCCCTCAGCGGGAGAAGACTTCAGTGGGAGAAAGCTCCAGTGTGTTTGTAGGTCTCAGTATGAGAAGGCCTCGGTGTTAGTTCCTCTCGGTATATGAAAGGCGTCAGTCTGAGAGAACCCTCAGCAGGAGAAGACCTCAGTGGGAGAAAGGCCTGAGTGTTAGTAGGCCTCGTGTGTGAGAAGCTTCGTTGAGAGAAGCCCCAGGTTGAATGCCATTGTGTGTGAAGGCTGCTGTGTGCAAAAAGCTACTATGTAAAGCCCCTGTGTAACTTCAGTGTGAGAAGTTCTGTGGCCACAGAAGAAGCAGGAATTGTGGGAGTTGAAGTCCACAACACCTGGAGGGTTTAAGTTTGCCCAAAATCGACTTTGGCAGTTCTGTGGCCACAGAAGAAGCAGGAATTGTGGGAGTTGAAGTCCACAACACCTGGAGGGTTTAAGTTTGCCCAAAATAGACTTTGGCAGTTCTGTGGCCACAGAAGAAGCACAAATTGGGAGGGGAACAGAAAGGGAAAGCAGGGGCTGTTATGCTTGGGGCCAAGCATGTTTGACATTCAGCCAGCAGGACTGACTGATGCAACCTGAACCTTCTTAAGGGAGTGTCTTGCTGGAGATGAATGGGTCTGGCAAATGCGACCCAAAGGGCACACTCTGCCCCACTGTGTGCTCTTTAGGAAGGTGTCTTGTTTGGAACCTAGGTTGCGTCTAGACGAGAACGAATGCAACTTGACCCCACTTTAAGTGCCAATGGTTCAATGTTATGGAATTATGGTTTTAGTGTTCTCTGCTAAACAAAGGCTGGTGTCCCACCAAGCTGAAAACCTTACGTGTCTATGTCGGGCATGGGCAAACCTGGGCCCTCCAGGTGTTTTGAACTTCAAGTCCCACCATTCCTCACAGCCTCAGGCCCTTTCCTTTTCCCCCTCAGCCGCTTAGCGGCTGAGGGGGAAAAGGAAAGGGCCTTAGGCTCTGAGGAATGGTGGGACTTGAAGTCCAAAACACCTGGAGGGCCCAAGCTTGCCCATGCGTGGTCTAGATGCCCCAAGAGACCCTCTTCCCCCGCAAAGCCAAGTGTAGGGTGGCCCTTTTGGGCTCGTTGCGACGCCAAGTCCTCGCCCTGGGCAGATCTTTGGGACGCCGCCTCCTAAAGAAGAACCCGAGAAGAGGAAGAAGGACTTGGATATCGAAGCGCAGGAGCTCGCTCTTTCCCGTCGGACGGGACCAAACTCCAGAAACTTTCAGGTCTTGTTTCGTTTCATTTTCGTTTGCCGGAAGGACAGTCATCGGGAGCTGACATCGGGGCCCAAGACGAAGGGAGGGGGGAGGCTTGGGTAGGCGCTGGCTTGGCAGCTGAAGGATCCCAGAAGAGCCTCACACTCCCAGCAAAGCCACCTCCACCTGACATGCAGGTAAGAGCAAGTCGGAGCCCCTGAGAGGAGGAAAGAGAGGGGGGGGGGAAGGAAAGGGAGGTAGGAAGGGAGGGAGGGAGCCTGGACAGGGAGGAGGTTTGGAAAGCTTGCTTGCTTCTCTCCTTCCTTCCTGCCTTCTCTTCTTCCTTCCTTCTCTCCTTCTCTCTTCCTACGCCTCCTCCGTCCCCACACACGTGTAATTCCGCAGTCTTTGCCCTTTGATTTTCGCTTTTTGTTTGGGAGCCCTCCCACTGTCTCCAAATCCCGATGGATTTTCCGTGGGAAGCACCAACCCTTCAGTTTTGTTCCACCGACAGGGTCTGGAAACCCCCAAAGCCCGGCTCACTAAGGGAAAGGCCAGAAGCAGCTGCCCCGATTTGGGAGGGTGCCTCAGAAAAAACGCTCTTAAGAAGAAGTGCAGGCTCCTTTGAAGGTCCTTTGAAGTCTCAGGATTTCAGGGAGTTTGAACAAGGAGTGACCCTCGAAAAGAGCATTTTTTGAACCATGCTGGTGAAAATGTTTAATGCAGTGGTTCCCAACCTTTTATTGACTAGGGACCACTTTGACCAGGGACCGCTCTCCAACATTAATACCAAAAGGGTTATGAATCCGTTTTTGGTCAACTTTAGTTTCGGTTTGGGGGGCTGATTCAGAAAATGGCATTGGATAGACCAGGGGTCCTCAAACTTTTTAAGCAGAGGGCCAGGTCATAGTCCCTCAAACTGTTGGAGGGCTGGATTAAAGCATGAATGGATTCCTGTACACACTGCACATATCTTATTTGTTGTGCAAAACCCACGTAAAAACAAATACAATAATTAAAATGAAGAACAATTTTAACACATATAAATTTATTAGTATTTCAATGGGAAGTGTGGGCCTGCTTTTGGCTGATGAGAGAGGGTTGTTGTTGTTGTTGTTGTTGTGTGCTTTCAAGTCGTTACAGACTTAGGTTGACCCTGAGCAAGGGCCGGGTAAATGACCTTGGAGGGCCACATCCAGCCCCCGGGCCTTAGTTTGAGGACCCCTGGGATAGAAGGTAATAGTATGATAGCTGGGTCCAGAAGCTCTGAGTGTTCCACTGTTTCTGCTTTGCTCCTTCAGGAGCGCTGTTTGTGCAATGCAGAACAGAACACAGATATTATACAAGGAATGTAAGAGTTCTTTAATGGTAAAACCCTTACCCGAACCCTTACCCTAAAACTTACCCTAACCCTAAGATTAAGCCTTAACCTTAACCTTACCCTAACCCTAAGACTAACCCTTAACCCTAAACCTTATCCTAATCCTAAGCCTTACCCTACTCCAAACTGTAACCCTAAACCTTATCCTAATCCTCCCTTCCTTTCTATTCTTCCACCAAATGCAACTACGAAATATATTCCCGCCCTCAGTGTGCCACTCTCCCCTTCCCTTATTCACAACCACCGTTACAGAATGTGCATAACGCTCAGAGCTTCTGGACCCAGCTATCATACTATCACCGGATAGACCACATCAACTCTAGTTTCTGATAAGGAACATATGCCATCCTCGCGGACCACCACAAGTTAAGAACCACTGGTTTAATATGTCATACTGAGATAGATTTCCAGACCAGAGCTTTCATGTTGGTGACACACTTTTTAGACATGTATTGCTTTGCAACATACTAATTCAGTTATGCCAGTGAACTGGAAATTAAATCAACTCCTTATAAGAAATATAAAATGCTCTAATTAAACTGATGGGGGCACAACATATCTCATGACAACATTTCATTTATATTTTTTAAATATCTGATTTGTTTATTTCACAGAAGTTGTTTAACAATATTCATAAGTTTCTTGTTACGTTCATGCGACACACCTACTCGTTGCAGCTAACATACTCATACAGTGGTTCTCAACCAGTGGTCCATGGGCCACCAGTGGTCCACAGGAACAAACATATGGTTCCCAGCCTCACCATTACTACACAGTTGCCTCAAAACCATGTGGCAATAAGAGCAATTGGTCTCATAAAACCCTCTTATAGCTCCAAGGCAACAGGCTGACTACCCGCAAAAGATTACTACTACCACATCGGCTCTCGATTATTAAATATGGTTTTCTGTGGGTGAGCAGATGGTGATTACTGGGTAGCATATGTTCTGTATCAGAAACTAGAGCTGATGTGGTCTATCCAATGCAATTTTATGAATAATCACCCCAGATAACCAAACTGAATCTAAAGTTGACATGGTCCTCTACGTTTTTCAACATCTGCACTGCTGGGAGGGGTTGCCCAGAGGTGTGAAATTGGGTACATTAAGCAGCTGAGGGGGGAAAGGAAAGGGCCTGAAGCTGTTAGGAATTGTGGTACTTGAAGTCCAAAACACACGAAGGGAAGGGCCCACATTTGCCCATGCCTGGTATATACCGATAGTACCCAGTTCTGTTGCTGATAGTTGCTGATAGTACCCAGTTCTGTGGCAGCACTAAATCATTGTCTGGATGCAGTGAAAGACTGGATGTGGTTGAAAGGACTGAGGAGTAATGCAGACAAGCTAAAAGTGCTGTGGTCAGTAGGACAACTAAAATGAGATTGGGATCAAGGCCCATTCTGGATTTTGTTGCTCATCTCCTGAAAGATGAGATGTATAACCTGGAGGTGCTATTGGACCTAGGGCTATTCTTGGAAAGCCAGGTTGCTTCAGAACCCCTTTGCCCAGTTTCAGCTGCATCTATTCTCAAGCAAGGCAGATCTGGCAACAATGCTTTATGCCTTAGTTGCCCTCAATTAGACACCATAACAACAACACTTTATTTATGTTCAGTCCTATCTCTCTGAGGGGACTTAGAGCTGATTACAGTATATACAAACACAAACACAGGCAAACATTAACAGAAATTCACAGAGCATCACAGACAAACACAAAGGCAAAGGCTTCCCCTTTCATCTCCAGCTTCTGAAGACGGTGCTCAATTTACGACTCAATTTACGATTGTTCGTCTCCATTTCCAAGCCGAGGAGCCTGCATTGTCTGTAGACACCTCCTGGTCGTGTGGCTGGCATGACTGCTTGGAGCGCCTGTTTGCCTCCCTGCCAAGGCTGTACCAATTGATCTACTCACATTTGCATGTTTTCAAACTGCTAGGTTGACAGGAGCTGGAGCTCACCCCATTCCACAGATTTGAAGTGCTAACCGTCAGGCCAGTAAGTTCAATGGCTCAACAGTTGAGATTATACATTAGAACAAAATGCAGCAACCAAATCGGTGCCAGGCAGGTGCATTGCAGAGTCCATATAACACTGGTCCTGAAAGAAGTACAGTATGCTGGCTTACAGAACTCAGTTGAAGGTGCTGGTGTTGACCCACAATTCCTAAACAACTTAAGGCCAAGATCTGAAAGACTGCCTCCTCCCCTGTGAGCCTGCCAGAAATCTTCAAAGGAAGCCACTCTGCATGTCCCAACACCTTGATGGACACACATGATAGCGCTTTTTCTATACCAGCGCCTCAACTGTGGAACTCCTTGCCAAAGAAAATCAGACTGGCCCCATCTCTTTTATTAAGCTTCTGGCAGGAATCGCAGAACACATTCCACATTCAGAGTTTGAAAGTGCTGTCTTAACTATTTCAAGGCTGGATGACAGCATATTTTTAGTCTGCTCTTAGGAGATTTTAAAGAATATTTTAATTTGTTTTTAAAATGTTTTAAACTTTGTGTTGTTTTCATTGGGTTTTATTTGTTCCTCACTTCAGGAGCCCTTTTGGCTTTGGAGGCAATATCGAAATGCTTTACATAAATAAATAAGGAAGTATAAGATAGATATGCAATTATATTAATTGCAGAGAAGAAGAAAAATGTTAACTTTTAATGCATGTTTTGGTTTTATATGTATGTTAGGCATTGAATTTTGCCATTATTATGTTGTGAACCGCTTCGAGTCCCCCCCCCCCCCCCCCCGGAGTGAGAAAAGTAGTATATAAATACAGTAAATAAATAAAAAATAACTTTGTTTGCATTCATTTAAGCCAAACCTTGTTTTTGCCAACTTACTGAATGTGCACAGACTTCAAAAGGCAATGACATGAGGGGAAAATGTGTGGTGGCCAACTTTCACTTTTATTTTCTCTCTTGCATGTGGTTGAGAATCAACCTGAAACACTTTGTGTGTGTCTATGCAGTTTCATTGTTGAGTTCCCAGTTTTATAGAACTTGGCTAACAAAGTAGATGTGTTCCTGGAAGCAACTTCTTCTAACTGAAAATATACTATCAGAGATAGAAATAATATGGAAATGATAGGGATGGGTTCCTACACCACAAAAAAATGAGCAGTTTGGAAAAAATGTAAACATTTTTTTCAAATCAAACAACATGTAAATATGAAATGAAGCAATCAGGTCAGATAACTATTCCATAAGTATTTTTAAGTAAATAAAACATCTTGAACCTCTGAAAGACCATCTGAAATCTTCCAAAGTGCATTCAGGGCTAATTTTTGTTTTCTTTTACTAATAAGGGATTTTGAAGGCAGCTGCTGTTTACCTTTCCTGCTGTAGGCAGGAACTACACAGTGTTGCAACCCGGCACTCAAAATATGTATTTTTCTTTTCTTCCATCCTTCTTTAAAAGAAAAAAAGGAATGTTTATATTAATATATACATATGAGATTTTAAATATGAATTCCTGTGCACTCTTCTTATTTTAAAGTACATCATACTACCTTAAATTAGCTTCTGGAGATAATAAATGCTATGCTGGAATCTTTGTCATACAATCCCCCTTTATCCAGTCCCTCAATAAATCAATCCAATTTATTCACAAAATATTTCAAATTTATCTCTCAGGGCAGAAAGTCCTCCCAAAATGGCTTATCTAAACATATAATACAGACTAACATGTTATAATTTAAAACAGTACATAGGAGGATCTCATTTTAAGCATTTAAAACACAACAATTACTATAAAATCAGTTCAAGATTTTATATAAAAGGCATCTCAATGGCCATGATTCATTATTATTTTGATTTTGCAAACGTTGAAACTAAAAGATACTGTATCTACTTGCCTAAAAGATCACACAGTGTGCCCCTGACAACATATTATGCTTGGCAGTACTGTGACTTGTACTTTCTTGGTAGCTGAAAAGCACTACGAACGTATCTCCCTTTATGAACCACCACGGAGGTGAAGATCTTCTGCGTAGGCCCTGCCCTCAGTCCCACCTGTTTTGTAAGTGCCCTTGGTGGGAATGAGAGACAGGGCCTTCTCAGTGGTAGCTCCCCAACTCTGGAACTCTCTCCCCAGTGAGATTAGATCAGTGCCCTCCCTCCTGGCCTTTAGAAAGAGAACAAAGATGTGGTTATGGAACCAAGCTTTTCACTAGTAAAGTAACACAGTATAAGAAGTAAATATGGAATATGTGTAATTGACATTTTGAATGGCCCAGTCTATGAGTTTGGATCATGTGATTTTAATGTTTTTATTAGGTGTTTTTAATTTGCATACTTCATGTTTAAATGTCCTATTATGGTGAATTTATCGTATTGTACTTTATGCTTAGTCATATGCTGTTTATTTTATGATTTGATTTATGTATGTAGGGCACTGAACTTTGCCATTATTTTTGTAAACTGGTTTGAGTCCCCCCAGGGGTGAGAAAAGCAGGATATGAATGCAATAAATAAATAAATAAATAAATAAATAAATAAATAAATAAATAAATAAATAAATAAAAAAATAAAATTCAATACTGAAGACAGTTATTGCTATGCTCATTGCATTGGCCGAATTTTTTTTAAAAAGAATGTTAACACTATTAGCGTTGGACCCAGATAGTTTATTTTTTTTCTGTAAACTGGGAATGGGTTAGGAAATTCTGCTTAAGAAAAGACTTCTTTCCCACAAGGTTTTATAACAACATATGCACCATGCTTGAAACTGAAACTGGCAGAAAGTGAAACTATATACTCACCCACACAAAATCCCCAACTGTGTTTTTCTAGATTCTCATGATCAAATTGTGGTAGTGATAATAAAGGTTTCGCTGCTAGACTCAATGTGGCAACAGTGTAGTGAAAAGCTTCCGTAGTGTGGTTGCACTGGATCGAACCCTTGAGCAAGCAGTACTGCTAGAAGAGTTTACACCTGCTTTTTTGCCCAACTGGTTAACAAATTATCAATTGCATTCATTTTGGAAATGTATTTCTGCTAGAATATTGGCTCTGGGTCAATAGCATCACTGAATTCAGCCCAATAACAGAACCACTCTGTTACTGACTCAGACTTGCAGTACTAATTCTTATCCCACTTGCCATTTGAGGTTCTTAAGGGAGCCATATTTGGGTTATCACATATTATCATCACAACAACACTGCAATGATGATTCAGCTTAGAGCAAGGAAGTCCAGGCATCTTGGAGAGTTGCATTTCATTTATGCCATGCCTCCAATGGTATAATTTGTTTTAAAATTATTTAATTGTCCAAAAAATCTGGTGTGCTTCATGGTTGGAGAAAGGAGAGATATTTGGCAAAATTGTTTCCAAGACCCTAGAAGTTAAGTTTGAAAATAGGTTAAAAAAATAGAGGCTCCTGATTCCTCCAACCTTGCAATTGCATATGGTACTTTCTCTCACTCTTGGCTAGACACTATTGACTGACCCAGGCCCCTTCCACACAGCCATATAATCCAGAATATCAAGGCAGAAAATCCCACAATATCTGCTTTGAACTGGGTTATCAGAATCCACACTGCCATATATTCCAGTTCTAAGCAGAAAACGTGGGATTTTTTATTATTGTGGAAGGGGCCCCAGAATCACTCATGGCTGCATGAATAAGTTGGATTTTGAACCTGGATCCACTTACCACATTTTTACACCATGCTACTTCTTCAGTTATATTTCTCTATTGTTGTACTTTGACCAGGTTTGAACTTGCATCTGTCTAGCCAAAAGTAACACATCAGTTAAACTGAAATGGAGATGATTTCAGACAAGGATGTAGCACTAATATGTTTCTCCTGTCTTAAGGATGAAGTAGCAACGGGTTCTTCGCCTCCTGTGCCAAAGGCTGCTTTGCCCCTACCGTCCACTCCTGTGACATCATTGCAAACGCTCCACTGTGGACAAATCTGCACCTTGCCCGGCCGACTCAGTGAGTGTCTAAAATGATGGACATGAGAGCACATATCTTTTAAAGGTTTTTTTTTTAAAGGAGGGGACTGTCTCCATACTTTAAAATGCTTAGCAAACAGATGTTCTCAATTTTGGTTCTTGACATCATCACTGAAATGTAACAGGTGATGGGAAAGACCTCCATATCCATGTCTTTAAGAGAGGAGAAACATGGGTTGGCTTTAGCAAAGCAGGTTAAACCACCAACTGTAGTCAATCTTGTCAGTTAAAAGGTTGCCAGTTCGAAGCTATGTCAGGGTGAGCTCCTGGCCATTAGCCCTCCTTTCACCTACCTAGTGGTTCGAAAGCAAATGTGAGTAGAAAAATAGATACCACTTTAAAAAATGGGGAGGTATTCTGGGGCACCCATAAGAAATGCCAGCCATTTGATCCAAAAAAGGTTAGCTCTTCAGCAGGGAGATGGAGTGACAGCAACCCCCCCCCCCCCCCCCGCCCCATGGCCAGAACCGAGTACAACACCTTCCAAGGACGAAAGATGGGAAAGCCGATATGCGAGAGTTATCTGGAAAGTAGGTTACAAGATTTTTTAAAATACAAAGAATGAATATATTTTCATAAATCTTACATGGATTTTAGTATACGTAGAACAGAATATAAATACTGTTAACAAATCTATATAAATAAAAATGTAATGTTTGTTTGTGGGATTAACATAACTCAAAAACCACTGGACGAATTGACATCAAATTTGGACACAACATATCTATCAGGCCAACAAGTGACCATAACTCATAAAAACACAGCAGAAGAGACTTTAAAAGCCAAAAAACAAAAATTACATTACAACGCATGCACAAAATCATACACACACACACACACACACACACACATGAAAACACACATATACACAAATATATACACAAACATATACACATGCAAAACACATATATACAGACTGGACCACAGCAACACAATGCAGGGGACGGCTAATAAATAATAAATAAGACCTCTTAGAGAGATCCGACCAGCCAAAGTGGACACTACAGGGCTGATGGACATCAGTTATCTGATTTAAATAAGCTTTCTGCATTCAGCAGAAAAGGCAGGAGAAGCCACCCCTCCTTGAAATGAGACAGCAGTTGTCTTTTTGAAACAAGAAATACGGGGTGCTAGAATCACAACAGACTTCATTCATTTTCTCTCTGTCCTTGATTTTCTGCCTTTTCCTCCTTTCATCATCAGAATCATTTTTTTATTGTCCTGTGGTTATATATTCCATTTTATGGACTTACTTTTTCTTGGAAATACTGTAGATAGCTTATGGATTGAAATATATTGTGACATTTATTCTCAGTGTTAGTCTGGTTTGTTTCAGGAATCCAGCCCTCTCTGTGGAGCAAGGATGATGTGATTCACTGGTTGCAATGGGCAGAAAAAGAGTACTCACTCAGGGAGTCAGATGAAAGCAAGTTTGAAATGAATGGGAAAGCTCTTTGCATTCTCACCAAGGAAGACTTCAGACTCCGGGCTCCTAATTCAGGTTAGAGATGTTCCTAGTAATTCCTTGCAGGAATGTCCAGGATTTCCAAAATCAGATTTCTTAGAAGGAAGAATTGGAATAGTGAACAAGAATTTACATGCTGCATCTCATTGTGGACAGCTAAATTTTGCATAAATGTGATCTTGTTTTAGAGTTGGAGCTAGATTTAATTATATGTAAGGTTGACTGCCATGTTTAGAGCAGATCCAAAAAATCAATTAGACTGTCAGCTTGATTACATCTGGATTGTTCTTCTGAATTGTCCTCTTGTGTAAACAATGCCATGTTTTTAGAACCAAGGCTCATAAAGCAGTGTTGGTGCCAGATGCTAACATGGTGTATTATTGGAAGGAGTCAGTTACCCTCCAGTGCTCCTTTGGTCTCTTTTTTATAGTATTTGATCACATGTCGGACACTTCCCAAGTGTCTAGGACTGTGTGATGTATCCGCAAAGAATGCATGCAGATCTGAATAGCTGACAGATGGTATTTTTGTTAGTGCTGATTGTTTTTAAGTGCAGGCCAAGGTCTTTAGGCACTGCACCCAGTGTGCCAACCATCACTGGGACCACCTTTAATGGCTTGTGCCTATTATTATTATTATTATTATTATTATTATTATTATTATTATTATATACAGGAACTGACATGGATCTCTGTTTTTCCCACTCAGGAGATGTTTTGTATGAATTACTTCAATACATTAAGACTCAGAGACGAGCCCTTGTTTGTAGCCCTTTATTTAATCCTCCCTTTCGGGATGTGGAATTCGCACAGACCCAAGGCACTGCAGAAGGTGAGTACTTATGAGGCAGTGGTTTCATCAAGGTAGGTTAGAATCATAGAGTTGGAAGAGACCTCATGGGCCATCCAGTCCAACCCCCTGCCAAGAAGCAGGAAAATCACTTTAAAAACACCCTCAACAGATGGCCATCCAGCCTTTGTTTAAAAGCCTCCAAAGAAGTAGCCTCTACCACAGCCTGGGACAGCTGTCACAGAAAGTTCTTCCTAATGTTCAGGTGGAATCTCAAGTTATATGCAACATGAACTCCAAAATCTGTATTCTTGTGTATCTTGAGTTTCACTACGATGAGAAGACACTATGATGGGGATTGCCAAGTCAAGACTGTAATGAGATTCAGCATTAAAACCTGAAAGCTAGGGACAGGTATTTGCGATATCAAGGGTTCAGTTCCTGGTGCTGTAAAAAGGGGAAGCTTTGGGTGATATCACAAAGCATGTTACATCTAACCCACTGCACCACCAGGGGTTCCCTCAAATTTATATATTTTATTTAATTATAACTAGGCTTGTTTTTGAAGTAGGGCTTAAATTTTGAGCATCCTCAAAAAACCTGATAAATCATGCTAGGGCTTATTTTCAGGGTAGGTCTTATTTTCAGGGAAACAGGGTGTCCCATCCTGTATCATAAGATCTCATGGCAGTGTACGGAAAAAAAATAATTAGAACAGTCTGAAATATTTAAAACAATTTGAGCAAAATGAAACAATATAAAACCATATACAGATTCAAACCAAGATCTTTGAGACTCTGAAAGTGGTTACGTTTAGCACCCATAGGATCGTTCTTACTTTTGGACAGCAGATGGAAGGGAACTGCAGGAGGCAGGACAGGGCTGAGGGCCAGAAGAAGGGACTTCATAAGCATCATGAAAATGTTCCTGCTTGGACTTCCTTGGGTTTCAAGTATGGCTTCTAAAATATCTGGGTCAGGGAGTCTCAGGCCCCTTCCACACAGCTGAATACATTCCCACATTATCTGTTTTGAACTGGAATGTATGGCAGTGTGGACTCAGATAACCCAGTTCAATGCAGATATTGTGGAATTTTCTGCTTTGGTCTTCTGGGTTATATCTCTGTGTGGAAGGACCCTTTTTTGGTTTTGTTCAAGTTTATGTCTTTATTGTTAGTTTATGCCACTTTTATTGAAGGCTTCCTCACATCTCTCTTCCGAAAGACTTATTTGTCCATGCTGGTATAGCATCAGCTATTGCAGACTATTTACTGTATGACTCAGCATCTTAAATTTAAAAGTCAAACATGCATGATTATATCAAGGGAACGCTGTGGCTTCCAGGAGTTCATTCCCCTCCTTTTATTGGTCAATAGCTTTTTAACATAGTTGTACTGTCCTCAGTGTCCCGCACTTCTTTCCACTATGGGCCCTTCCACACAGCCCTATAGCCCAGAATATCAAGGCAGAAAATCCCACAATATCTGCTTTGAACTGAGTTATCCGAGTCCACACTCAGATAATGTGGAATTTTCTCCCTTGATATTCTGGCACATAGGGCTGTATGGAAGGGCCCCCATGTCCTCCTATCCTGAGATAATCCGTTTTTGATGCCTAAGCAGTTGCAAGGGATTAAAGCTCAGAAAGCATATGGTTACAGAAAAGAAGCAAGCATCTGCTCCCTAACAGGATGGCTGTTAACCAAATTGCCTCCTCCTCAACTGATCCACCGCCAGGGATCCTTTCTGGGCAGCTTTTAAATGTTACTTCTTTGGACTGTAATCCAGAATTTGCCATCCGGCATGGCCACTAGCCATGTTGGCTTAAAGGATGTTGGAAGCTGTAATTGTCACCCCAAAAGTAGCATTTTCAAGGTATGCCCTGGTGCACCCCTTGGAAATCACAGGAAACTATGCCAGGGGTACTTAATTCCTCTAACAGGAGGCTATGGAGTATGATAAAGGAAGGGGAGGAAGAAGGGAAAATAGCACCACCTTTTTGCTGAGGTTGGCATGTAGATAGCATCTTGCTGGCCTTTGGAACTGGTAGTAGATCTCACATGGATTCCTGCCACATCTGAAGGATTTTTCTGTTTTGTTTGAGTTTTGGCTTATTTATTTTCAAGTCATTTCATGATATTCTAGTGGGTTTCATGATATCCTGTGGGTTCCCCCAGATGTTTTGGCCTTCAACTCCCAGGAATCCTATTAGCTGGTAAACTGGCTGGGATTTCTGGGAGTTGTAGACCAAACCCACAGGTTGAGAACCATTGTTAATCTAATGATTGAAAATGAGGTCTTTGTAAAGTTCCTTTCATCTTAAAACAAACCCCAAACTCCATAGTTACTGTCTGTGCTGGCCATGTGTGATCCTGGGGCTTACAGTCTTAGTTCTTCTAATTACATTTTGGAAAATAGTCAGATTTCCTCAGACCCAAAGTACAGGTCAGAAGCTTTCTCAGCTGATGGTGTTCTTCTCTTTACAGAATGTTTGGTCGTCACTACTGGTCATCCAAGCCACACAGAGCAACCCAGATTGCCCACAACGATGTTCTTCAGTCCTGGGGCAACCTGCCTTTCTCACCACAGCACTGGGGTCATTTATAGAGCAGATGAATATTCTTTTTCTGTAACATCACCATCTCCTGTTAATGGTAAAATTGCAGGTAGGTATGCTTTTTCAGTAACTTAAGTGGCATTTAGCCTACATTTGTTGTTGTGTGCTTTCAAGTCTAGCTTCAAAGGATCTAATTCTTCAAAGTTAGATCTGAACTGCATTAAATGATCAGTATGAGCCCCCAGTGGCACAGTGAGCTAAACCGCTGAGCTGCTAACTTGTTGACCGAAAGGTCGCAGGTTCGAATCCGGGGAGTGGCATGAGCTTCCACTCTCAGCCCCAGCTTCTGCCAACCTAGCAGTTGGCAGAAACATGCAATTGTGAGTAGCTCAGTAGATACTGCTCCAATGGGAAGGTAACAGTGCTCCTGGGTAACATCTTTGCAGATGGCCAATTCTCTCACACCAGAAGCAACTTACAGTTTCTCAAGTCGCTCCTGACATGAAAAAAACAAACAAACCTGTTTTAACATCATATTATATGCTACTGACTCTTAGATTGCAGGTTACTCTGGGATTATGTGTACCAGCTTCTTTGTGATAGCCGATATGAATCATTCATCAGATGGGAAGACAAAGAATCCAAGGTCTTTCGAGTCATTGACCCCAATGGACTTGCCAGACTTTGGGGGAATCACAAGGTACCTTAGATATTAATTGTATGAGATATTATAGCAGGGATGTGCCACTTGTGGCCCTCTTGATGGCTTCACACTGCAGCTTCTATGATACTTCACCACTGGTTAGCTGGGCAGGGCTAATGGGAGTTGCAGCTTAACACCATCTGGAGGGCCACATGTTTCCATACTACTATATACATCTGGTTTAGACTAGTGGTTCCCAAACATTGGTCCCCAATCCTGAGAAACCCCAATCAGATTGTCCAATTGAAAGGGATTCTGGGAGCTGAAGTCCAAAACCCCTGAAGGACCAAAGGTTGGGAACTACTCCTTATCAAGGTGAAATTAACAAGTGAGTGTTGTACAGAAGATAAATTCCATGCTACCCTGATTTTTTTAACAATTCAGTCAGTGCAATAACTTATAAATAGCATTTGTAAAGTCATCTTTAGGTTGCATATTACAAAGCAATGTTTCTAAACTCTGTATCTTAGAGTTCTCCAACATCCACAGCATACTCCTGATGAACTTAAGATTTTTTTCATTGTGTTCTCTATCTCATCCAGTTCAAATCATTCCAGTTATATTCAAAGGAATTTACCATTGGGCTTAAAATTATTATTTTTTGAATTTTCAGAACCGTAGGAACATGACATATGAGAAGATGTCAAGAGCTCTGAGACATTACTATAAACTCAACATTATTAAAAAGGAACCTGGGCAGAAGCTCCTATTCAGGTGTGGAAAATAAAATTGGGTGAATCCATTGGGGAGGGTTATGGAAAATGGCTTGACAGCAGAGGCAACTGTGGAGCCCCCAGTGGTGCAGTGGGTTAAACTGCTGAGCTGCTGAGCTTGCTGACCAAAAGGTCAGCAGTTCGAAACTGGGGAAGCGGGATGAGCTCCTGCTGTTACCCCCTACTTCTGCCAACCTAGCAGTTCGAAAACATGCAAATAGGTACCACTCCAGCGGGAAGGTAATGGCGCTCCATGTAGTCATGCTGGCCACATGACCTTGGAGGCATCTACGGACAATGCTGGCTCTTCCGCTTAGAAATGGAGATGAGCACCACCCCCCAGAGTCAGACACCATTGGACTTAAAGGGAAATCTTTAGAATCATTTGTAGGTGTTCCATGCTTTGGTGGAAATCTGGGACCTCATAGCAAATGCTTTGTCTAATCATGGCCAAGGATGGTGGGCCATCTTTGGACCTGTTGCACCTCCGGTAAAGAAAGACCATAGAGGGTTGTGTGGTGCTATTCACTGGCTACCCTCAAGACAGAAGAAAAATGAATTGTGGGACTTCAAAAAAAATCTGTTAAATTGGAGGACCTTTCTTGAGGAACAGTCGTAGAACACAAAATATGTCAAAAAATAGACATCAAAGAGAAAGTTTTTAAGAATGTCTTCCTTCAATGTTAAACCTTCTGGTGGTATGTGATCCAGGCTGAGATGGTGTTTTGAGCTACATCTAGTATCAGTGTTCAAACAAGTGTGTTAAGTTTTTGTAGATCAAGCTGCTGCTAGGCCCCAATCTGGATTGGGTTTTTGTATTCTACAAAATATTACCTACAACCTGATTGCTTTGTTTCCCTCAAAATCCTGTCTATTTTGGAGAGCATCCAAGCTGGGGCATGATTTTCAGCAGGCTTCCAACCTAGCCACCACTCCACTTTTGGAGTGAGGCCATATTCCAGATTTGATATCCATAGCCAATTTTTCCATAGAATAAAATGACCAGGCTAAGCACACCTTCTTTGAACACTTCTCATAGCTTTGGCAAATGGGATTAGAAGTACAGACATTAGAAAATGATAGTCAAATGAGGATATGGACAAACTCAATGAGCATGATATCCCTCCTTGGAGAAGTCAGGAGTAATGCTGAGGTTCAGAGTACAATTAGTTGCCTATGCCAAGAGTTCAAACTATGCAATATCAAGTTGACCATCCTTCATACAGGCAGCTAATGTGGCAGAACTCAAGAGTGATTTTTTGTAATGTTCCAGATTCTTGAAAACACCTGATGAAAGAAAACACGACAAAACTACTAAGTGTGAACAGCTCGATAATGAAGACCAGGAAGGAGAAGACTGGAAAGAAGATGAGCTGGAAATCTCACCATAAACATTTGTCATGCAAAGGCTGAAAACGATCAGATGAAGGGAATTCATGTCCCAACAGTGCTGTTGTTTTCTGTAGCTCAAACATGTGAAATTAACCACCACACCTTTACTGCAATTGCACCAGTCCATCTCCTTTTAATTACAGTCAAATTATAAGTACTCTGCAAATGCATTGCAGTAGGCTGCACTGAAAACAATCCTCAGAACCAGCTGCTCACCACTGACTTCTTCATTCCAGTGGCATTTTCTTATAGTTCAGACTTTTTTAAAAAACACGTTTGCACACACACTCAGAAAAAATATTTCAGATATTCAGTAATAAAAATTAAACACATTCTGCAAAGCAACCAGCTTTTCTTGGCGCCACATGTAATGGACTAAAGCAGCGTTTCTCAACCTGGGGGTGAGGTTAGGATTAGGGTCATGAGGGGGTGTCAGAGGGATCACCAAAGACCATTAGAAAACACATTATTTTCTGGTGGTCACGGGGGTTCTGTGTGGAAAGTTTGACCCAATTCTATCATTGGTGGAGTTTAGAACGCTCTATGATTGTAAATCCCAACAACTACAACTCCCAGATGTCATGGTCTATTTCCCCCAAACTCCACCAGTGTTTATATTTGGGCATATTGAGTATTTGTGCCAAGTTTGGTCCAGATCCATCATTGTTTGAGTCCAAAATGCTTTCTACATCTAGGTGAACTACTACTCCCAGGTCAATGCCCTCCAAACCCTTCCGGTATTTTCTGTTGGTCATGGGAGTTTTGTGTGCCAAGTTTGGTTCAATACCATTGTTGGTGGAGTTCAGAATGCTCTTTGATTGTAGGTGAACTATCAATTCCAGCAACTACAACTCTCAGATTACAAAATAAATCCCCCACAACTCCACCAGTCTTCAAATTTGGGCGTATTAGGCATTTCTGCCAAATTTGGTCCAGTGAATGAAAGTACATCCTGCATATCAGATACTTACATTATAAATTCATAAGAGTAACAAAATTACAGTTACGAAGTAGCAACAAAAATAATTTTATGGTTGGGGGTCATCACAACATGAGGAACTGTATTAAGGGGTCACGGCATTAGGAAGGTTGAGAAGCACTGGACAAAAGCAACAGAGCAGTTGACATGAAAACCACAATGAGGCCTGTTTCTCCAAAATGCAGCCAAAAAGTCTATGTGGGGATTAACAAACTTGAATGTTTACATTTTGTGTTAAAACATTTGGATAGAAATAGTTGCCTCCCTAGGAAGTAATGCAGTCTGGAGCTTGCAAGCCCAGCTACCAAGGAGTTCATAGTGTTCTTGTTTTCACTGTAGGTTGCCTTTTAAACCAGTTCAACACTGACCCACAGTCAGCTAATGTGGATAAAAATCAATATAAGTATTACTGAGACAAACCCTTATTTCAAACATTGTTCTCATATCTAGGCTATGAGGTTGCTAGTCCAGTTTTCTGCTGTCTTGCAAAAGAGAAATAGACTGATGGGAGATGGGATAACAATATTATTTTACTAGCTCTAACAAAATGATGGCCTTAACCTAGGGATTCAAAATGTATGAAGACTATTTTAAGCTGGTAACAAGAATGAAGTCAGCCTCCCAGACACATTAATTAGGTGATAAACTATCTAGCCTTTTGCTTGCAATGTTGTTTCTTTAAAGTGCATTGACTTTGTTTTTTTAAAAGTTGTTTTTGCTGATTAGTACTAACTAGTTTTCATTTTAAGATGACTTGTTGATTGTGGCCTGGCTCCAAATGTTCATAGTCCCTATCCCACTGTACAACTATGCAGCACTGATATAAATGCGCTCAAGGCTGCATTAAAAGATGTGCTTGACTACTTGAGATGGCATAAATATTACAACATGGATTGAGGTGCTCTTCCATAATTGTTTTACATGCAGGAGTGAGAATGCTTCTGCAAGCAGATCTCCTTTTATCCTGAGCCAAGGTATATGAAAGTCCTGCCTCTGATTTATTCTGGGTTTTTTTTTGTTTGTGTAAGGAGCGACTCTGATGTGAGAGAATTGGCCGTCTGCAAAGACGTTGCCCAGAGGACACCCAGGTGTTTTACCATTATGTAGGAGGCTTTTCGCATGCCCCCACATGAGAAGCTCGAGCTGGCAGACAGGAGCTCACCCTGCTCCCCGGATTCAAACTGCCAACCTTTCACAAGGGTTTAACCCATTTTGCCACTTGGGGCTCCTGATTTATTCTGGTGAATGTAATGGAAAGGAGAGAAACTTCAAATGTGAAGTAGGAGCTCAAGAAAGAGGTGCAGATTTCTGTCTGATTCTCCCAAATTCTAAGTCTGCCTGGACTTTTAGTTTAAAATAATTTATGAAGGAAACTAAGTTTGTGTACTATCTCAGTGCACAATTTTGGAGGATTTGGGATTTCAAAACTCTGGGAGAGGGATTCTCAACTTGTTTTCCACTGAAAGGATTAAATGATTGGTTTCTTTAACGGGCCCATCCTAATATGACTTTCTCTATATACAAACATGTCTGTTTACTACTTCCAATCACTGTTATGCTGCAGCTAATTAAAAGCTGCTATAAGACGGCCACTTGACAACTCTGGATGAAAGCACTGTTCTTGAGCATCTACTATTGTGGGGGCTGGTTAAGTAAGAATTGTAAAGGATCAGACCAAAGACTTATACAATATTCTGTCCCAATATGTCAGCCCATGGAAAGACCATAAACACACAAGCATCGATTCACATTATCCTTAGTAACCAATGGCCTAAAATATCTTGAAAGCACCAGATCCCATTTGATCTTGGAAGCTCAGCAGGGTTAAGCCTGGTCGCCTTAAGTTGACAGGTGAGGTTTTTTTTTTCCATGTCAGGAGTGACTTGAGATAACTGCAAGTTGCTTCTGCTGTGAGAGAATTGGCCGTTTGCAAGGACATTGCCCATTTTACCATCCTGTAGGAGATTTGGATTCCAGATCCAATTTTTCAAACTCTTGAAATTCAAGAAGACCATTTAAAAACTTTTTGGTTCCAATCTATGTTTTATGATGGCATGTGGAGTGATAAACCACATAAACAAGATCAGGCCATTCTGCAATACTCTATAAAATGAATATAGACACCTCCATATATCCTAGTGATATGACATCTTTCAGCCATTAAAAACATGATGCACAGCAAACTCATTTAGTAGGTTCTTACAAGCATTATATATGATATATAAAACAAATATGAGCAACTCTGAGGCCTTGATATATGTCTTAAAGGCATGGAGAAGGAAATATTGACTCAACTTTTCTCCAAGTATAAGAACTGCAAGTGATGAATCAGAAAAGTTTGCCAAGACCTGAAAAGAACTGAAAACATCAGGATCCTCTCATGTATAGCTCTGTATCTTAAAGCTCAGCCCCTGTTGTTTTTAAAGTCTATGTTGACTTGAGGGTACCTAAGAACAGAGGATGAGCTTTAAGATGACATACTGTTTGAAGAAAATATGCAATGTACTGTATCTTTTTGACCCATACTACATCAGGCTAACAAAGGCTCATGTCCCACACTCCAAGCCCTCCATGCTCACAAAAAGCTGGAATTAATTTTTCATGTAGGTCATTTTAATATATGCAGACTTTTACTACTTAGAATCTGAAATGGTCTGTCCAGGAAGAGCTTTGCCATACAACCACATTAGTCAAGCATGCCTGAACTCTTGGTACAGAGTAAGACTGTTTTTCCCATTTTTGTACGGTGTATAATGAAATAGGGCAGAATCCAAACAGTTCAGATTTAACCATTTGGGAACTACTAAACTCCCAGCAGGCATTTTTCCCGTGTCAGGAGCAATTTGTGAAACTGCAAGTCGATCCTGACACGTGTGGTGAAGTATGGAAACATCCAGTATGCATCCCATCAGTTTTACATGGGTGATCTACCATACATCCTTAAAATGTGTAGGAATTCTCCATATGATGCCCCTTCCAGAGTATTCTCTTCCACCAAGCAACTCAAACCAGGATATACAATTCCACAAAAGCTCTGCCTGAATTTTGTGCTCATTCAGGTTGAGAAAACTGCTTACAATTTAGAATGAAGCCAAATTACACAGTCCAACAAAAAAAAAACATTCTTAGTTTTTAGGCTTGTTTCTGGGGTTATTTGGGGTGCTGATTCAGAAAATTGCATTGGATAGACCACTTCAGCAAAAGTTTCTTAGACAGGTCTAACATCTGAGGCACCAAAAGGTGTGTTAGCAGTGTTTCCTTTGAAATAACTTTAAACATGCAATTGTCATTGGCTTTGAAAGCAAGAGGATGTTTGAGCGTATGAGTATTATAGATATGACAAAAATGCACCATTAGGCGAGAACGTACTCTTACAAGTAGAACCATGCTGCTTATTTGGAATAAGATACAGAGCTATTGGGGCATAATAAAAAAATTCAGGCCAATTTGACATTCTAGGTAGCCACGTGAAGCTAGACAATTGAAAGTAACTCAGTGTGATACACAGAGATTAAGATAGGTTAGCTTTCATTATGCAAGTATAAGGGGATGGTGGCTTTATTTGATACAAAGACTGGTTGTGCCCCTCACATTTACAACTGTTTGAAAGAGCTGTCTTTGTTCTTTAAGTGTTTATTACCCCCTTCTTTCCAGCTAAAATGAAAGTTTTGCGTATCTAAATAGCCCATAAGTATGTTTAGACTAGATGCCAACGTATTTTACAAACATTTTATTGGCTGGATAGTGTACACAGTACTTACAGTTGTATCTATTAAAGACAAAATACACTTCAAAATGCAGCATAAAAAATTATAAACTTTTGAACTATGTACAAAGTGTTCCTTACAGTTTCACAAATATCACTGCCCCCAGCCCAATAAGTTTAACATGCAAACTATTTAAAAAAAAAGAGAGAAAAGTTTAGTATCACTTGGAGTTTGCTACTTTACCCCATTAAATATCAAACTGCTTTAAATGGGTTTAATATTCTAGTGCTTTTTAAGTCAATAAAGATTTGGTATGTTTCTCAAACTCACCACTGTTCTGTCCTCAATTACATCATTATCTGAATATTTACTTCTAATTCATTTTTGTCCAGGGACTGATCTTTTTATCTTTGTTGCAGTTTGAGACTCCCAATATTAACAAATATTTCTGAACAGGTTTGACCTATACACATGAAGTCTAAACCATTGGTATTATTGATCATATTCGGTCACTTTACACCATTACAGGAAAACCTAACTACAGGACTTTTCTAGAGACCAAAAAAATTAAATAGATGTCAGCATTATCTACATATAGGTATCACAAAAAACAATTTTATTCAATTTTTAATATGGGGGATAATAGTGATGACTA